CCCCAAAACCCCAAAACCCCAAAACCCCAAAACCCCTTTTCTAAGATTTTTATTGTTTTAGTATCGAAATTTACTCATAATTATCTACATTAATGTCGTTCAAACCCAACATTTCATTTTGTTCGAAGTCTCTCTCATAGTCTTCTTCGATAATTTGAGGATCTTTCTCTGGATGCATATCGCTGTAGACAAAGCAGTTACCGAGTGGGTCATCAATAATCAAAGTAAACTCAATGTTTCCTTCTTTAAGGCTGTCAAGATTCTTCAAGAATTTTCTAAACTTTTCGTCCAAAGAGCTATCACCTGCAGCAAATGGGTTAACTTCCTCGAGTTTGTCATGGATCTTGGTGATAAGCCCCTCAACAGTAGTGTAGATACCTCCGAGAGTACCAGCAGCTAGAGAGAGATCTAGCTCAGGGATTTTGACTTCAGAGTCATCACCTTTGAACAAGTCTCTGGCAAGATCTCTCTCATTTTTGACCTTAAGAGTGATTCTTTTGCCCTTTTCAGAGACAGCACCTCCTTGCTTGACCTCCACGGATCTAAATCCTCAAGCATCACAGTTGAAGGCTAGGATGATGATCTCCTTAAAGTTAGGGATATAGGAGAGACAACTCTTTTGCAAGCCTTGCTCCCCACATTGGTATCAAGGCATGGGAATTCTGAAGACTTCATTATCAACGATTTCTTTGTGCTCTTCATTATCGTACTTCCTCTCATCTTTCTTGACATCAACTTCTCTGGCCTTTTTCATCATGGTTTCAACTTCTTCTGGGGATAAGTCAGGCTTCTTGGTCTCTTTGTGGTCTGCTGGGATTTCTTCCTCATGTTCTTTCTTGACATCTTTCTTTTCTTCTTCAGTGAGTTTTTCAGGGTCCATGAAGCCCATCTCGACCAGTTCTTTGCTAGATCGCTCGTAGTGCTTGATCTTGCAATAGACGTCATTGGCAGGGGCATGAGGGTTCTGGACAAAGCTGTTTCCTGATGGATCATCGATCTTGAAGTGCCAAGGCATATGCATTCCCAAACACATCTCTTCTAATTTTTCGATGAATTCATCAATTTTCATAGCACTGTCAGGGTCAGTGATTCTTCTCTCTTCTTGGTTGAGCTTTAAGTGATCTGCTGTAGCCCTAAGGTATCCCTCGATGGTCTTGATAGATCCCTTCTGAGTAGTCTTTGGAATTTCTAGTTCAATTTCTGGAATAGTGATGATTGCCCACTCAGATTTGACAACAAACCTGTTGAGAGTTTCTTTAGAGTAGATATTGACGTCTATTTCAACTCCTTTTTCAGCGATTTCTCCACCAAAAGTCACATCGTTGTTGGTGTTCCCTCATTCATCACATGAGAAGGAAGATAGGATGATACCTAGAAAATTTGTTAACACATGGAAAGTACGTAAAAATAGTGGACAATGTTTGGAGAATCCCTCTACTTACTTTTAAAGAAGGGAACCTTGGTAGTTAAGAGCCTGGTCTCTCCTGTCTTCTCACATAGAGGACACAGACTGGGGATTGTCTGCACTGGAGCATCTGGGCTGATCTTCATAAAGTCCTTATAAGTCTCTGCTTCCATGGTTTTTAGCTGTTGATAGGTATTAAATAAATAGGTTTATAAAACTCGCTCTTTCAAAAATTTATCCACAATTTGGGGTTTTGGGGTTTTGGGGTTTTGGGGTTTTGGGGTTTTGGGGTTTTGGGG